AGGACTACTAAAATTTGGGGTCAAATAATTCTTTTGTGAGTGTTCTGCACAGCATAAGATGCATGGCATCACTTTGGTCTATACAAAAGAAGATGCTAATATCGCTGATCTCTACTGAAAACTGAAAACATCTAAATACAATAAATGCTCTGGAGTTGGGAAGTAGATGCAACTAGAGAAAACTACTGTGCGAGGAAACATATATTTCCTCTTTGATGATCACTACTCAAAGTCAACAAATTAGTGAAAGTCATAAGAAAGTAGCTGGCATCCACTTGTAAGAAGCAATTTTTAAAATTATCAGGCCCTTAGTAATAGGTTGAAATATTTAGAACGGTGTTAATATCTATGTTATCTGGTCACGTTGGAGGAAAACATAGAGGGTAAATTTTATAGGACAGGTCATTTGCATGGCTCTTTGGCTTCACATTAAACTCCAGAATTTAAAACTGGAGGATTCTGCAGTCTACAGAAAAACAAAACAAAACAAAACAAAAACAAAACAAAACAAAAAAACAGACACAACTTTCTTTTCAAATTTTAAGGAAATAAAAGGTAGTAAGCATCCACATTCAAGATCACAAGACAAATTCTATTGATACATGCATATTCATGTTCCATTCCGCTTCTAATTGTCTGACATTTGATATTTTACCTAATTTAAAAATCTATGAATAAGTAATTAAAATAGGCTAGAAATATCCAAATAAACTTACACAAGTCCATTTGTCTTCAGTTTTCTCAATCACAATAGTCTGTGTATCGCTACCTGGTGGTATATATTCATAGTCATCGTACAGGAGACCTAGGATCGGATATTGTGTCCTGTACCTAAACAACAAAAACAGAGTTACAAGTAGTATGAAATAACTAATTTGTAGTCACTCCCATTTCTATTACCTGATTTAAATCAATTTATCAATGAATGATTAGTTTCAAATGAAATGCCTTCTCAAATATGAAACAGCAACTATGTTAAATAAAGGAAGGAATAGCTGTCTTTGATCATGATGAATCACTGGTAGTACAGAAAAGAGATGACACAAGAACCTTAAATACTGAGCTAACTGCTTGAAGTCTTTCATGTTTACAGAATAGGGAAAGGAAAATCAAATGGACTGTAGAAAGTTTATCAAGTTAAAAAGACACAGTAATGTATGCCACAGTGATATCTTTTGTGACAGATCTCTCTAGAGCTATTTTTTTTTTACATTTTTTCCTTATTATCATTTATTACAATTCATTCGGTTTGTATCCCACTCCCTCGTCTCTCCCAATGCCTCCCTCCCTCCCTCTTCTCCCCCTAGTCCACTGATAGGGGAGGTCCTCCTTCCTTCTATTTGACCCTAGTCTATCAGGTCTCATCAGGACTGGTTGCATTGTCTTCCTCTGTGGACTAACAAGGCTGCACTCCCGAGGGGGAGATGATCAGAGAGCCAGCCACTGAGTTCATGTCAGAGACAGCCCCTGTTCCCTTTACTAGAGGCCCCACTTGGAGACTGAATCTGTGGGCTACATCTGAACCTGGGTTTTAGGACGCTCCATGTGTTGTCCTTGGTTGGGGTATCATTCTCTACAGGGCCCCCAAGGCTCAACCTAGAACCTTGATGTCCCTCAATAGAGGAATGGATACAGAAATTGTGGTACATTTACACAGTGGAATACCAACATACCATCTATTTTATTTATCTGATCTTGATTCAGCTTTCGTAAATTAAGTCTATCAAGAAAATTGTCCATTTCATTTAGATTTTCTTTTCTTAATTTTAATTTTTATATTAATTACAGTTTATTCACTTTGTATCCTAGATGTAGCACCCTCTCTCATTCCCACCCAATCTCACCCTCCCTCCCTCATCTCCTCCAGTGGCCCTCTCCAAGTCCACTGAGAGGGAAGGTGCTCCTCCCCTTCCATCTGACCCTAGTGTATCAGGTCTCATCAGGACTGGCTGCATAGTCTATCTCTGTATCCTGGTAAGGCTGCTCCCCCAAGAGGGGGAGGTGGTCAAAGAGCCAGCCACTGAGTTTATGTCAGAGACAGTCCCTGTTCCCCTTACTAGGAACCCACTTGGAGACTGATATGGCATTAGCTACATCTGTGCAGGTGTTCTAGGTTATCTCCATGCATGGTCCTTGGTTCTAAATATTTCAACCCATTACTAAGGGCCTGATAATTTTAAAAATTTCTTCTTACAAGTGGATGCCAGCTACTTTCTTAAGACTTTCACTAATTTGTTGACTTTGAGTAGTGATCATCAAAGAGGAAATATATGTTCCCTCGCACAGTAGTTTTCTCTAGTTGCATCTACTTCCCAACTCCAGAGCATTTATTGTATTTAGATGTTTTCAGTTTTCAGTAGAGATCAACGATATTAGCATCTTCTTTTGTATAGACCAAAGTGATGCCATGCATCTTATGCTGTTCAGAACACTCACAAAAGAATTATTTGACCCCAAATTTTAGTAGTCCT